GAGAAGTAGCTGGTGAAACTGGCGGTATTTCAAGGCCTACCTTCAAACTCAGTGCCTCTTTGCTTGACATCATGGGAAAATCAAAAGAAATCAGCCAAGACCTCAGAAAAAGAATTGTAGACCTCCCCAAGTCTGGTTCAACCTTGGGAGCAATTTCCAAACGCCTGAAGGTAGCACGTTCATCTGTACAAACAATAGTACGCAAGTATAAACACCATGGGACCACGCAGCCGTCATACCTCTCAGGAAGGAGACGTGTTCTGTCTCCTAGAGATGAACGTACTTTAGTGCGAAAAGTGCAAATCAATCCCAGAACAACAGCAAAGGACCTTGTGAAGATGCTGGAGGAAACGGGTACAAAAGTATCTATATCCACAGTAAAACGAGTCCTATATCGACATAACCTGAAAGGCCGCTCAGTAAGGAAAAGCCACTGCTCCAAAACCGCCATAAAAAAGCCAGACTACGGTTTGCAACTGCACATGGGGACAAAGATCTTACTTTTTGGAGAAGTGTCCTCTGGTCTGGTGAAACAAAATAGATGGCATCATGAGGAAGGAAAATTATGTGGATATATTGAAGCAACATCTCAAGACATCACTCAGGAAATTAAAGCTTGGTCGCAAATGAGTCTTCCAAATGGACAATGACCCCAAGCATACTTCCAAAGTTTTGGCAAAATGGCTTAAGGACAACAAAGTCAAGGTATTGGAGTGGCCATCACAAAGCCCTGACCTCAATCCTATAGAAAATCTGTGGGCAGAACTGAAAAAGCGTGTGCGAGCAAGGAGGCATACAAACCTGACTCTGTTACACCAGCTCTGTCAGGAGGAATGGGCCAAAATTCACCCAACTTATTGTGGGAAGCTTGTGGAAGGCTACCCGAAACGTTTGTCCCAAGTTAAACAGTTTAAAGGCAATGCTACCAAATACTAATTGAGTGTACAGTGAGGGAAAAAAGTATTTAATCCCCTGCTGATTTTGTACGTTTGCCCACTGACAAAGAAATGATCAGTCTATAATTTTAATGGTATGTTTATTTGAACAGTGAGAGACAGAATAACAACAAAACAATCCAGAAAAACGCATGTCAAAAATGTTATAAATTGATTTGCATTTTAATGAGGGAAATAAGTATTTGATTCCCCTCTCAATCAGAAAGATTTCTGGCTCCCAGGTGTCTTTTATACAGGTAACGAGCTGAGATTAGGAACACACTCTTAAAGGGAGTGCTCCTAATCTCATCTTGTTACCTGTATAAAAGACACCTGTCCACAGAAGCAATCAATCAATCAGATTCCAAACTCTCCACCATGGCCAAGACCAAAGAGCTCTCCAAGGATGTCAGGGCCAAGATTGTAGACCTACACAAGGCTGGAATGGGCTACAAGACCATCGCCAAGCAGCTTGGTGAGAAGGTGACAACAGTTTGTGCGATTATTCGCAAATGGAAGAAACACAAAATAACTGTCAATCTCCCTCGGCCTGGGGCTCCATGCAAGAGCTCACCTCTTGGAGTTGCAATGATCATGAGAACGGTGAGGAATCAGGCCAGAACTACACGGGAGGATCTTGTCAATGATCTCAAGGCAGCTGGGACCATAGTCACCAAGAAAACAATTGGAAACACACTACGCCGTGAAGGACTGAAATCCTGCACCATCCCCACCGTCAAACATGGAGGTGGGAACATTATGCTTGGGGGTGTTTTTCTGCTAAGGGGACAGGACAACTTCACCGCATCAAAGGGACGATTGACGGGGCCATGTACCGTCAAATCTTGGGTGAGAACCTCCTTCCCTCAGCCAGGGCATTGAAAATGGGTCGTGGATGGGTATTTCAGCATGACAATGACCCAAAACACACGGCCAAGGCAACAAAGGAGTGGCTCAAGAAGAAGCACATTAAGGTCCTGGAGTGGCCTAGCCAGTCTCCAGACCTTAATCCCATAGAAAATCTGTGGAGGGAGCTGAAGGTTCGAGTTGCCAAACGTCAGCCTCGAAACCTTAATGACTTGGAGAAGATCTGCAAAGAGGAGTGGGACAAAATCCCTCCTGAGATGTGGGCAAACCTGGTGGCCAACTACAAGAAACGTCTGACCTCTGTGATTGCCAACAAGGGTTTTGCCACCAAGTACTAAGTCATGTTTTGCAGAGGGGTCAAATACTTATTTCCCTCATTAAAATGCAAATCAATTTATAACATTTTTGACATGCGTTTTTCTGGATTTTGTTGTTGTTATTCTGTCTCTCACTGTTCAAATAAACCTACCATTAAAATTATAGACTGATAATTTCTTTGTCAATGGGCAAACGTACAAAATCAGCAGGGGATCAGATACTTTTTTCCCTCACTGTATGTCAACTTCTAACCCACTGGGAATGTGATGAAAGAAATAAAAGCTGAAATATATCATTCTCTCTACTATTATTCTGACATTTCACATTCTTAATATAAAGTGGTGATCCTAACTGACCTAAAACAGGGAATTTTTACTTGGATTAAATGTCAGGAATTGTGAAAAACTGAGTTTAAATGTATTTGGCTAAGGTGTATGTAAACTTCCGACTTCAACTGTAAGTAGATTCGTTTCAGGGCATATTGTATCGTGCTTCTCCTGTCGAGACGTGGTACTCTTTGCATTTCAAAAGAGGGCTCTATGTTAGTATTACCTTCCCCAAGGGTTCTCTTAATTAAAAAACATTTTTTTTACCAACCTCTTTCCTGTATTAGTCTCAACTATTTTCTGTTGTGTGCCGTGGGCTCTATGGCATGGCGAATGGTTGATTTGCAACAATTGGAAATGGCAAAATAAAGAAGAAACACCAAATGCGAAATAAAGTTGATCCTTTATTATGGTGTTTGTGTACTATAGTCAGAAACAGCCGTACACATGAACTCACCAACATTAATCAAAAACACTACAACTCTAACTCGACAATAAAATTGATTTCCTTGTATTCCATTAGCTTTGGAGCTTTGCAACACTAGTGATGCCATGTCATACCTTTGGAGAGACAAGGTGGGGGGGGGGTCACTGAATGATATCATTCACTTGACTCACTGTTTGCGATCGTGAATTTTTTCACCCAGAGGCACTCAGAGAAAATTTTTGGCAGCCGAATGTGTCTGGCAGCCTCTAATTTACAGGCTGGTGGTAAACTCTGAGAGGAGAAAGAGAGACTGCTGCGATTGATTGATAAATTGATCTGGAATCCTTCGCTCCTGTTAGCTTTTCCACACCCGGGGTCCTTGTTGCTATGCACTGTTTGCCCCTGCAGAAACCCCTGGTGTGCGTGGTTTGCTGTCAGTAATTTACAGCTGCCTGGTAGAGGGATCAGGAGGTCTCACACACAGAGCCATGTTTAAAACAAATGGCGTCATAGAGCTTCTGGTGAGCGTCAGCTCTGCTGACTCCTTTCACAATGCAATGATGACTCTTTAGTCTCTGATGGTGTTGAAAACCATGGCTGGAGAAATTGTCCTTGGTCTGTGTCAGGCCACGAGGTGTGTAGCCTCGGAGCTCTGTGCACCGCTGGGCTTGACAGGACGAGCCGCTAACGCCAGCCGTAGAGAGTTATAACGATGCTAGCTGCTATGTTGAGGTTGGCCAAAGCCTAACTCAACTCATTTGCCCTTTTCCCCAGAGTGATGGGTTGTTGTTTTTTTACATCACCTGTCTCAAATGAAGCTGAGAAACCCAAAGAATGCACTAACTGTCATCATGACTTCTGTATAATCTACAGTGTAATTAGAACTACAGTCCCTCCATTCAGTCACACCATACACATTTATATAGGCCAATGTGTAAAGTATTACTAGATTGCTTGGTGCCTGAAATTGTCCCACAAGCGGCAGGTCATGTTTTGATGGGCCTACTAAAGGTCTATTTGCAATAAACATACATTTCTATGGAAATGTTTTTAAAATTTTTGGTTAGTCTAGATTCAGTCAGTCAGGCACAAGGAATGTATTAGTGTTCGACATTGTCGTCGATGTCATGGTTTCAGGCTCATTACTGAACCGTCGGACACAGACACACAAACACACAACACACACACACACACACACACACACACACACACACACACACACACACACACACACACACACACACACACACACACACACACACACACACACACAGCCTGTTCTGTCTCTCTGGCTGCAAGACAGTTTTGAAGATAAGCACCTGTCTACCTGCCTGTCTGCCAGTAGCCTACCTCTACACATACAGCCCCATCCTAATTTGAATGACATCTTCTGGGAAGACAGTTATCGGTTCCACTGTTCTCTTTGTTGAGGTGTGTTCATTATGATTAAAAGAACACTGAGATGAGGTTTCTCTTCAGATGTGAGTCCTTGAATGTCAACTAAAAGGCTACAACTCCGGCATAATTAAGACCAACAGGACGGATAGGAGAAGTGTTTCAGCCAGATATCAACATTTCTCTGCTGTAAAATACTTATTTGGACTGTTATTTCTCAAATGTCTCCTTCATGATGGATGATCGGTAGAAATGAGTGGCCACCTACTTTCAGTGGCACATTTCATCCTCTTCTGGTCTCTGGCTGTTTGGGTGTTAAACAAACCCACACTTATAGGCTACACATCAAGTCCTGTGGTCAAAAATATCTCCACAGAAATGGTTGTGAGCATACGTACATCTTTAGGTGCTGGGCTAATAATTGATGTCTGGCCTTTCTGTTCATTAAAAAAAGAACATCACATAATTTCTTAATCGTGACCTCACAGGAAGAAAAAAATAGGAACTGTGTCTAACACCTATCTTTTTCTCTCCCGCTCTCCCTCCCACTCTCTCCCCCCCTCCCTCCCACTCTCTCCCTCCCTCCCTCCCACTCTCTCTCTCCCTCCCTCCCTCCCTCCCTCTCCCTCCCTCCCTCCCTCCCTCCCACTCTCTCCCTCCCTCCTTCCCACTCTCTCCCTCCCACTATCTCTCTTTTCATTTTTGTGTCCATCTTTCCTGTCTCATCCGCAGCACATCACTCCAGACAGTTACGTTCCCTGCCTGAGCGACCTGTGCAAGGCATTATGGGAGGTGATGCTCAGCTATCACCGGACCATGCAGTGGCACGAGGAGCACAACAAGGAGGAGGCTGCACCCGCCACAGGTACACCTGTCCCACCAATATCTAGCCCCTCCCCTTAATTCAGCACAACACTGGGCCTTTGGCTGACCAATATCCCCCACCCCTTTAATTCAGCATAGCACTGTCCCCTCCCCTTTAATTCAGGCAAGTGACCACTAAAGCCCTTATTCATCATCGACCCCTGCAAGCTAACCTCTTATTTCTAAAGACCTGATTCCCCTACACTTACTCCCTAAACCTAAAGTGAAGGAGGAGGAGGCTGCACCAGCTGCAGGTTCTGTAAGCCTGCCCTACCAAAACCCCCTCCCCTTTAATTCAGCATAGCACTGTCCCCTCCCCTTTAATTGAGGCAAGCGACCACTAAAGCCCTTATCCAACCCTCTAACCTCTCGTACTTCTATAGCCCTGATTCCCTTACAATTAATACACCTAAAGCCCTGATTCCCTGACGCTTAATACAACTAAAGGCCTCGAACACCCCATATAATAAAGATCCCTTCTTCAGCCGCCCTCACCTTCACGTTGTACAGTCAGTTCACCTTGTATTTCTGCTGACGTAGTTTCCCCTCGTCCTCTAGAAGTTCTTAGAAATCACTATTTTAATTAGCCCCTAAATCAATTGAAGCTGATTGTGAAAAAATATATATAAAAAAGAAAGGGGGGTTGACTTTCATTAGGGGCAATGGGATACCTAGTCAGTTGCACAACTGAATGCATTCAACCGAAATGTGTCTTCCGCATTTAACCCAACCCCTCTGATTCAGAGAGGTGCGTGGGGCTGCCTTAATCAAGGTCCAGGGGAGCAGTTTTTGGGTGTTGTTGTTGGGAGTTAACTGCCTTGCTCAAGGGCAGAGCGGCAGATTTTTCCACCTTGCCAGCTCTGGGTTTCGAACCAGCGATTTTTCACGCATAACCATTAGGCTACCTGCCAACCCCATTACTGCCCCACAGACTTAAACCCGGAGATTGATGGATTTCTAAGTATTGCATTTGACCTTTTACAGAGAGCAGAGCTACTGTTTCAGGTTTATCGTTGAGTCAAGTTCTATTCCTTCCTATTAGTTTACCTTTTCCATTACTTTGTCAATCAGCAGTAATTTTGGCTCAAATGCGGTTTAATTTCCCCCTTCAGTACATTGGATTGATTAAGAAAATGGCTGATGGCAATAGGACTACGGTGAAGCCTTTATCCCCTGATCACTGAGATTTATGGATTTGTAAGTATTGCATTTGCCCTTTATAGAGAGCAGAGCTACGGTACTGCCTTCTCATCTGCCCCCCTCATCTAACGAAAATTGTTGTGAATGTGCAGCGCTGCATTTGCACAACCCACACAGCACACATTGGCGTGATGGTATGGGTAATTGAGGTTGAATTTGTTGCCGCACTTACCACTGTGTTGATAGTCAAGTGTTTTTTTTCTTTCTAGTGTTGCCTCAGTGGCCCTCCCTCTCTCAGAAGGTTATTGAGCCGGCCAGGCCTGAAAGTGATAGGTGCTTGTGCTTTGTTGACGCCAGCACACTGCTGACTTTGAAAAGTCACTGAGCCCTCTCCAAAGACCTCTTGAATCTAATGTTGCTAATGATTCATCTAATGATTAGATGAATAATACAAAATTATCCACACGGTAAGCAAAGGAGATAAACTGTGATATTTAAACCTGTAAATATACAGTACATTTCCATTCCATTATCATGTTAATTTCAGTTTAAGCACTGTTTTGATTGATGATGTTTGTTAGAGAAAATGATGTATTTATTTATCCTAATTACAGACACATGTAGACAACATCATGTCCCTCAGTGCTCACCCCTCTGTTAGGATTTATTTATGTATTATTAATGTGCATTTATTAAGGATGATTCCGTACAACCACAGGGGGGACGATGCATTGTTTACGTGATATTTAGATTAGATGAAATTAATGACGTATGGAGTGTTGTTCTACTTTTCTGAGAACAGGCTTTCCACTAGATGTTGGACATTGCTGCGGGGACTTGCTTCCATTCAGCCACAAGAGCATTAGTGAGTTCGAGCACTGATGTTGGGCGTTTAGGCCTGGCTCACAGTCAGCGTTCCAATTCATCCCAAATGTGTTTGATGGGGTTGAGGTCAGAGCTTTGTGCAGGCCAGTCAAGTTCTTCCACACTAATCTCGACAAACAATTTCTGTATGGACCTCGCTTTGTGCACGGGGGCATTGTCATGCTGAAACAGGAAAGGGCCTTCCCCAAACTGTTGCCACAAAGTTGGAATGTCATTGTATGCTGTAGCGTTAAGATTTCCTTTAACTGAAAGGGGCCTAGCCCAAACCATGAAAAACAGCCCCAGACCATTATTCCTCCTCCACCAAACTTTACAATTGGCACTATGCATTGGGGCAGGTAGAGTTCTACTGGCATCTGCCAAATCCAGATTAGTCCGTCGGACTGCGAGATGGTAAAGCGTGATTCATCACTCCAGAGAACATGTTTCTACTGCTCCAGAGTCCAATGGTGGGGAGCTTTACACCACTCCAGCTGACGCTTGGCATTGCGCATGGTGATCTTAGGCTTGTATGCGGCTGCTCTGCCATGGAAACCCATTTCATGAAGCTCCCGACGAACAGTTCTTGTGCTGACGTTGCTTCCGGAGGCAGTTTGGAACTCAATAGTGAGTGTTGCAACTGAGGAAAGTCCCATTCTATGAGCTTGTGTGGCCTACCACTTCACGGCTGAGCCGTTGTTGCTCCTAGACATTTCCATTTCATAATAACAGCCCTTACAGTTGTCCGGGGCAGCTCTAGCAGGGCAGAAATTGGAAGAAATGACTTATTGGAATGTGGCATGCTATGGCGGTGCAATGTGAAAGTCACTGAGCTCTTCAGTAAGGCCATTCTACAGCCAATGTTTGTCTATGGAGATTGCATGGCTGCGTGCTCGGTTTTATACACCTTTCAGCAACGGGTGTGGCTGATATAGCCGAATCCACTAATTTGAAGGGTTGTCCACATACATTCGGAAAGTATTCAGACCCCTTGACTTTTTCCATATTTTGTTACGTTACAGCCTTATTCTAAAATGGATTAAATAGTTTTTATCCCTCCTCAATCTACACACAATACCCCATAATGACAAAGCAAAAACTGTTTTTTAGAACATTTTGCAAATTTATAAAAAATTAAAAACCGGAAATATAACATTTACATAAGTATTCAGACCCTTTACTCAGTACTTTGTTGAAGCACCTTTGGCAGCGATTACAGCTTAGAGTCTTATTGGGTATGACGCTACAAGCTTGGCACACCTGTATTTGGGGAGTTTCTCCCATTCTTCTCTGCAGATCCTCTCAAGCTCTGTCAGGTTGGATGGGGAGCGTCGCTGCATAGCTATTTTCAGGTCTCTCCAGAGATGTTCGATCGGATTCAAGTCCGGGCTCTGGCTGGGCCACTCAAGGACATTCAGAGACTTGTCCCGAACCCACTCCTGCGTTGTCTTGGCTGTGTGCTTAGGGTCGTTGTCCTGTTGGAAGGTGAACCTTCACCCCAGTCTGAGGTCCTAAGCGCTCTGGAGCAGGTTTTCATCAAGGATCTCTCTGTACTTTGCTCCGTTCATCTTTCCCTCGATCCTGAGTAGTCTCCCAATCCCTGCCGCTGAAAAACATTCCCACAGTATGATGCTGCCAACAACATGCTTCACCGTAGAGATGGTGCCAGGTTTCCTCCAGATGTGACGCTTGGCATTCAGGCCAAAGAGTTCAATCTTGGTTTCATCAGACCAGAGAATCTTGTTTCTCATGGTCTGAAACTCCTTTAGGTGCCTTTTGGCAAACTCCATGCGGGCTGTCATGTGCCTTTTACTGAGGAGTGGCTTCCGTTTGGCCACTCTACCATAAAGGCCTGATTGCTCGAGTGCTGCAGAGATGGTTGTCCTTCTGGAAGGTTCTCCCATCTCCACAGAGGAACTCTGGAGCTCTGATTAAGGCACTTCTCCCCAATTGCTCAGTTTGGCTGGGTGGCCAGCTCTAGGAAGAGTCTTGGTTGTTCCAAACTTCTTCCATTTAAGAATGATGGAGGCCACTGTGTTCTTTGGGGACCTTCAATGCTGCAGACATTTTTTGGTACCCTTCTCCAGATCTGTGCCTCGACACAATCCTTTCACAATCCATCATGGCTTGGTTTTTGCTCTGACATGCACTGTCAACTGTGGGACCTTATATAGACAGGTGTGGGCCTTTCCAAATCATGTCCAATCAATTGAATTTAGCACAGGTGGACTCCAATCAAGTTGTAGAAACATTTCAAGGATGATCAATGGAAACAGGATGCAACTGATCTCAATTTTGAGTCTCATAGCAAAGGGTCTGAATACTTATGTAAATAAGGTATTTCTGTTTTTGTTTTTGTATAAATGTGCCAAACTTTCAAAAACTGTTTTCACTTTGTCATTATGGGGTATTGTGTGTAGATTGATGAGGGAAACAAATTATTTAATCCATTTTAGAATAACGCTGGAACGTAAGAAAATGTGGAAAAAGTCAACGGGTCTGAATACTGTATAGTGTGTGTGTATATATACATATATAGAACTATAAGCCAGAGAGAGCAGGTAACTAGATAGTTTGAGACCGCAAAGGCAGTCCAAGATGAGTGTATGTATAATAAGAATATTCCAGCTGTATCATCACTAATATCACCTTACTAAGGTATCCAAGTCTGGGAAAAACCTTTGGCTCTGTTTCCATGGTGATAAAGTTTCAGTTTTCTCTATTCCTTCGTATTAGTTTACCTTTTCCATTACTTTGTCAATCAGCAGTAATTTTGGCTCAAATGCGGTTTAATTTCCCCCTTCAGTACATTGGATTGATTAAGGAAATGGCTGATGGCGGCAGGTAGCTTAGTGGTTAAGAGTGTTGTGCCAGTAACCGAAAGGTCGCTGGTTCTAATCCCCGAGTTGACTAGGTGAAAAATCTGTCTGTGCCCTTGAGCAAGGCACTTAACCCTGATTGCTCCTGTAAGTTGCTCTGGATAAGAGCGTCTGCTAAAATGAAAAGTGACGCCTTTATCCCCTGATCACTGGTGCCGTTGAGACTTTGGCTTTGTCCCAAATGGCGCCCTATTCCCTGTATAGTGCACTACCTGGTCAAAAATAGTGTACTATATAGGGAATAGGTTACCATTTTTAACACGCCCTTCAAGTCTCCAGCTTCCAAACCTTAGTTAAGCACATCTCCTCGTTCTGGGACATTCAGTTCTAATCAGAGGAGGCGGGGCAATCCATCAAGAGGTGTGATTGGCTGTCCTCTACTGCTCTCTAAGTGAAGGTCCTCGCTCTGCACCCGCTTTCACCCCTCCTCTATGTAAAGGGTGTGTGTGTTTGGTGCTTGTTTGTTTGGTGCGTGTGTGTGTGTGTGTGTGTTCGGTGTGTGTGTTTGTGTGTTCTTATAAGTGTTTGTGCATCTCTGCGTATACCAAAGCCTTAAGAAGAGTGATTTACATGCTGGTCTTAATTTTTCAGACTGGCTTTGTGTCCTTGGTCCCAACACGTTCTACCGGGCGCCCTGCATGAACGCGAGGCTCCTCTCCTTTCATTGGAGAAAATAATTTAAAGGTCCCTTGATGGCTGCAACGCTGCGTATGCATCCCAAATGGCACCCTATTCCAGATAAAGTGCCCTACTTTTAACCAGAGCCCCTATTAAAGGAATAGGGTGTTATTCGGGACACAGCCTGCATCATATCTACGGAGCGCCACCACAGCTGATATAATGAACCTGTCTCCAGGATGTATCAGTAATTAAGGGAAGTTGTTTCTGGATTGAATATGGGCGAATGGTTCCCTCCCTTCTTGCCAAATTGACTTTGCAGCCTTAGCTCACCCACTGTCATGTTCGATCAGCTCGGACAGGTCCTCGGTGGAGAGAGGATAAATGGCCGTGGTTAGTGGATCAGTTACAAGCTCACAGCACTGACTGGAACCCTTCGTATTGACTGTTAGCTTAGAACTGCCACGCTAAACATACAATCAATCCAGGACAGAGGGGGGAAGATCTTGGCCTTGATATTGGCCTTCTCACGTGTACAGTTCCGCCTCATTCTAAGATGAAACCAACATAAAATGAAATCAAGATGGATGAAATGGTAACGTTTGCTGTTTGTGAACAAGTTGAGTTTTTTCACGGTCATTTGTGATTGACTTATGATCTCATAGGAGCATAGAATTTCTCACAATGTGTCCTGTTTTTTAGTGTTATTTTTTGGGTGTGACTCTATGATATATTACGGGCTAACTTGGATGACTGCCTTCCTTGATTCAGTCCAAAAGAGACTCCATAGTTAGGTTAACAGATGACATCATTGATATGTAGCTACACCAGTTCCTTCTGATCCTGATCATTTAGGCATTTTCATGTACAGGATTGCTTGGCTAATTATGCGTGTCTGGGACATTAAATAATACAGCAATCCCCGGACGGAAATTGACAATTACTCCTCCCATTGCCTTCCATTGCCTCTGCTACTTACCTCCGTATTTGTTAAGGCGGCTTCTCTCTCCTTCATTTGCCGGACCTATCAGCAGGTAAATTGCTTTCCCTGGCCTGTGACCAGCTTTGTTGTGTGTTTTCACACTCCAACGTCATCTTTGTTGCTTCCATCGCAGTGATGAGGTAAATGAGGTTGCCAGGTCAAAAGAGAGAATTGTAAACTGAATGCTGATTGGTAGCCGTGGTTTATCAGACCGTATACCACGGGTATGACAAAACATTTATTTTTACTGCTCTAATTACGTTGGTAACCAGTTTATAATAGCAATAAGGCACCTCGGGGGTTTGTGGTATATGGCCAATATACCACGGCTAAGGGTTGTATCCAAGCACTCTGCGTTATGTCGTGCGTAAGAACAGCCCTTAGCCGTGGTATATTGGCCATATACTACACCCCCTCGTGCCTTATTGCTTAAATAACCTGTAATTAATTTGTTTAGATGGGTGTTTAAATGATGTTTTGGCTGGCTAGGATTTGACTAAAGACCTTCCAAGTTTCTCATGGCTCCTTGTCACAGTTTTATCTTGTTGCATTACTTGGCGAAACTACGTCTCGGAACTTTGAGCTGTAGTCTCTGAGGCGTTGGCCGGTTGTTTTCTGGCGTCCTTCCTTTCCATCGTCAGGGGGAGGATATCTGTTAACAATTTTGAAATGTGTAACAGTAACACAATGAAAGCCCTCTGGATGCTGTTTCATCACACCTCACTTACTCCCCAGGTTCTTTCCTGCCAGTGGCTTGCATTGTCCAACCTAAACTGCTTTGACCTTCCTGTGATATTTTTTTGAAGAACATTACAATGAGTTCTATCACTAGATTAATTCACATTTTGCTGGTGTCAAACTGAGGCCCAGCCTGGATAGAAGGTAACCTAGAAATACTCTATCAAACCATTTTAGTCTTTGCACATTTATATCACCCTCCTCCTCAGGCTCCTCTCCTCTTTCCTCCCTCCCCTGTTCCTCCCTCCTCTTTCCTCCCTCCCCTGTTCCCCCCTCCCCTGTTCCCATTAGTAGTATTAACCCTTTCTCTACCTCGCCCAGCCAGTCAGAAGAGCTAATCTCCCTTCTCACTCGCTTGTTAAAGTCTTTTTTAAACCTCCCGGTTTGGGCTGGATGTGTAGTACATACATGCATAATCTATGAGCAGAATTACTGTTTTACCTCAATTAGCCACGAAATCTCTAGTTTGAAAGCGACAGTTTTTCTGGAAGCTGTGCTGCGCCATTTTACCTACATTTTCCCCCAACTGGGCCAGCCCCCTAGCAATTTGAGTTCTAGCCAATGAGCTTCAGCCCCTCGCCATTTGAGTGACAGCTAGCAAGATGCACACACAACGGAGTGAGAGAGAGAGCAATGACATATCTGCACATATTTGACATAGTACCCAATTTTCGGGGACCACTTTTGCTCGTGAGCGCTACTTTCAGAACTACTGGCTAACAAGTATACAAAAGTACCAGATAATCTCTTTTATGAACACTATCCCCCTCAGTGTCATACTGTCATGTCACAGTGGGCCTGGGCTGAGCCTTGTTTCATTCTTAAATGATTTTGTTTCATTCTTTCTTTTGTTCCATTCTTTCTTTACGGGAGTGACTCATGCAGTTGTTCTTGGCCCAGTCAGAAGAAACAACCGTGGTGCAATTTGTTTCCCTCTCCGTGATATGGTTAGGATGCACAGATGGTTCATTCTTAGCTTGCCAGGTGTTTTACATCAAAGGAACTCTGCTATTGTTCCAGAGAAAGAGAGACTAACTATCCTGTAATTCACTTCCCAAATTATATATTGTACAGTGGGGAGAACAATTATTTGATACACTGACGATTTTGCAGGTTTTCCTACTTACAAAGCATGTAGAGGTCTGTAATTTTTTATCATAGGTACACTTCAACTGCGAGAGACGGAATCTAAAACAAAAATCCAGAAAATCTCAGTGTATGATTTTTAAGTAATTAATTGGCATTTTTATTGCATGACATAAGTATTTGATCACCTACCAACCAGTAAGAATTCCGGCTCTCACAGACCTGTTCGTTTTTCTTTAAGAAGCCCTCCTGTTCTCCACTCATTACCTGTATTAACTGCACCTGTTTGAACTCGTTACCTGTATAAAAGACACCTGTCCACACACTCAATCAAACAGACTCCAACCTCTCCACAATGGCCAAGACCAGAGAGCTGTGTAAGGACATCAGGGATAAAATTGTAGACCTGCACAAGGCTGGGATGGGCTACAGGACAATAGGCAAGCAGCTTGGTGAGAAGGCAACAACTGTTGGCGCAATTATTAGAAAATGGAAGAAGTTCAAGATGACGGTCAATCACCCTCGGTCTGGGGCTCCATGCAAGATCTCACCTCATGGGGCATCAATGATCATGAGGAAGGTGAGGGATCAGCCCAGAACTACGCAGCAGGACCTGGTCAATGACCTGAAGAGAGCTGGGACCACAGTCTCAAAGAAAACCATTAGTAACACACTACGCCGTCATGGATTAAAATCCTGCAGCGCACGCAAGGTCCCCCTGCTCAAGCCAGCGCATGTCCAGGCCCGTCTGAAGTTTGCCAATGACCATCTGGATGATCCAGAGGAGGAATGGGAGAAGGTCATGTAGTCTGATGAGACAAAAATAGAGCTTTTTGGTCTAAACTCCACTCGCCGTGTTTGGAGGAAGAAGAAGGATGAGTACAACCCCAAGATCACCATCCCAACCGTGAAGCATGGAGGTGGAAACATCATTCTTTGGGGATGCTTTTCTGCAAAGGGGACAGGACCACTGCACCGTATTGAGGGGAGGATGGATGGGGCCATGTATCGCGAGATCTTGGCCAACAACCTCCTTCCCTCAGTAAGAGCATTGAAGATGGGTCGTGGTTGGGTCTTCCAGCATGACAACGACCCGAAACACACAGCCAGGGCAACTAAGGAGTGGCTCCGTAAGAAGCATCTCAAGGTCCTGGAGTGGCCTAGCCAGTCTCCAGACCTGAACCCAATAGAACATATTTGGAGGGAGCTGAAAGTCCGTATTGCCCAGCGACAGCCCCGAAACCTGAAGGATCTGGAGAAGGTCTGTATGGAGGAGTGGGCCAAAATCCCTGCTGCAGTGTGTGCAAACCTGGTCAAGACCTACAGGAAACGTATGATCTCTGTAATTGCAAACAAAGGTTTCTGTACCAAATATTAAGTTCTGCTTTTCTGATGTATCAAATAATTATGTCATGCAATAAAATAAAAATTAATTACTTAATAATCATACAATGTGATTTTCTGGATTTTTGTTTTAGATTCCGTCTCTCACAGTTGAAGTGTACCTATGCAATCACAGAGGTCATATGTTTCTTGTAGTTGGCCACCAGGTTTGCACACATCTCAGGAGGGATTTTGTCCCACTCCTCTTTGCAGATCTTCTCCAAGTCATTAAGGTTTCGAGGCTGATGTTTGTCAACTCGAACCTTCAGCTCCCTCCACAGATTTTCTATGGGATTAAGGTCTGGAGACTGGCTAGGCCACTCCAGGACCTTAATGTGCTTCTTCTTGAGCCAATCCTTTGTTGCCTTGGCCGTGTGTTTTGGGTCATTGTCATGCTGGAATACCCATCCACGACCCATTTTCAATGCCCTGGCTGAGGGAAGGAGATTCTCACCCAAGATTTGACGGTACATGGCCCCGTCCATCATCCCTTTGATGCGGTGAAGTTGTCCTGTCCCCTTAGCAGAAAAACAGCTCCAAGCATAATGTTCCCACCTCCATGTTTGACGGTGGGGATGGTGTTCTTGGGGTCATAGGCAGCATTCCTCCTCCTCCAAACATGGCGAGTTGAGTTGATGCCAAAGAGCTCAATTTTGGTCTCATCTGACCACAACACTTTCACCCAGTTCTCCTCTGAATCATTCAGATGTTCATTGGCAAACTTCAGATGGCCCTGTATATGTGCTTTCTTGAGCACGGGGACCTTGCGGGCACTGCAGGATTTCAGTCCTTCACGGCGTAGTGTGTTACCAATTGTTTTCTTGGTGACTATGGTCCCAGCTGCCTTGAGATCATTAACAAGATCCTCCTGTGTAGTTCTGGGCTGATTCCTCACCTTTCTCATGATCATTGCAACTCCACGAGGTGAGATCTTGCATGGAGCCCCAGGCCGAGGGAGATTGACCGTTCTTTTGTGTTTCTTCCATTTGCGAATAATCGCACCAACTGTTGTCACCTTCTCACCAAGCTGCTTGGCGATGGTCTTGTAGCCCACTCCAGCCTTGTGTAGGTCTACAATCTTGTCCCTGACATCCTTGGAGAGCTCTTTGGTCTTGGCCGTGGTGGAGAGTTTGGAATCTGATTGATTGATTGCTTCTGTGGACAGGTGTCTTTTATACAGGTAACAAGCTGAGATTAGGAGCACTCCCTTTAAGATTGTTATCCTAATCTCAGCTCGTTACCTGTATAAAAGACACCTGGGAGCCAGAAATCTTTCTGATTGAGAGGGAGTCAAATACTTAGTTCCCTCATTAAAATGCAAATCAATTTATAAAATTTTTGACATGCGTTTTTCTGTTTTTTTTTGTTGTCATTCTGTCTCTCACTGTTCAAATAAACCTACCATTAAAATTATAGACTGATCATTTCTTTGTCAGTGGGCAAACGTACAAAATCAGCAGGGGATCAAATACTTGTTTCCCTAACTGTATTTGGCGCCCATGCTGGCCAGATTGCGGCCTTCCTGACTGTAGGCAACCGGTAACTGCCAAAATAAAGGAAACACGTGAGTAAATGTGGAATACAAATAATATGTCATGGTGTGAGATTCATTTTTCTGTCATGATTAGATCCACTTGTAGAATGTATGTCAAGGAGCATTGAAGCTGTTTTGGCAGCTCGTGGTGGCCAAACACCCTTTTAAGACAATATGTTGGTGTTTCCTTTATCTTGGCAGTTACCTTTATGTTCTTGTGATAAAATGAATCCACATTTATTTTTTCGAAACTATTCATCCTCTGTGTCTAAATTATGCGCTCTAATGTATTTTGAACATTGAGAGTGGGCTCCTGTGGTTGGATAAAAACGATATTAAAAACAACAACGTATTTTGTATTTATATTTTTGGGGCCTCTTGGGCCACCTATGGGCTTGGGCCCAGCCCCCGACTCACACAATTGACCAGTCACATTGATTTATTATGCAGTTTATTTTAAATGTTTTATTGATCAGTTACCCAATGAAGGCAGGGCCCCCCAGTTACACACGTTTGCCCCCTACCTCCTCTCCCCATCTGACGATTAGCAGAGCAGCTGCAGGCTGTCTACACTCATTGAGAGCGGGCTCTTGAATCCTCCTGTGGTTGGCGGTTGCAGTAAAAAAAATCCAATATATATATATTACATTCATAATATATAGTATATATTTCCTTTTTTATTATTATAATATATATATATATATATATATATATATATATATTTTTTATGCCTCTTGGTCTCCCCACGGTCTCAGGGGCTTCAGCCCTGGTAAGCCCAGGCATTAATCCGGCGCTGATGACAACTGTCAGATTCATTTTACAAATCAGGAAATGCGTTATTTAAAATGAGTGGCTATGATGAGCTGTCATATCAGTCTGACATCACATGTTCTTCACTCGGTCTATCTGTATTCATGGTCGGTTAGAAGTGCCTACTTCCATGCCACAGTGCTGGAAACACATCATGATAATAACTAGCAGTATTCACTCTCAGCTGAGCTGTAGAAAGTCACTATGACAATAATCAGGAGAGGTAAATATGATCATTAGTGCTCTTATATAAAGAAAGATGAGAGTGAAATAGTCACCAGCTCGAACACATGACCTCATCAGAATTATGATAACTTTCTAAAACTTTCCAACATGTCTGTTAGCCTCTAAACTTGGTTAAATTACATTTTTAAAATGTTGTTGAAGCCTTGGACACCATTTGGCTGACTTGAACGAGTGGATGTTTGAGTCTGTGTAGGTGTGTGCATGTTTCTGTTTGTGTGGACATGTGTGTGTGGGTAAAAAGTTAACTGCATCTCAGAAGATGGTATCTGTCATGCCTTCTGCATCATTTGGCTTTCTGACTCACCTCTGGGGGGTGGGGGTGCTACCTAGCGGAGCTTCTCTCTCAAGGCTGACATCATGGAGAGAACTGATTAACCCGCATTGTCAACTGCCAAGCAGCATCTCTTTGTTTTCCATCCAAACGCCATTGCCTCTGAGTTTAATGAGGCTTCCGGAACTGACAAAAGTCTGGCAGTAAGGCTGCAGTGTTGATGGTGCAGAGTTATCCATTAACAATCAGTCAATAGGATATACAGAGCATAGGGTAGATATAAAGAACCAATTCACTCTTCAGTTTTGTGACCGATAAATGTTAGCTAAATGTTAGCTAAACGTATAGCTTATCGTATTAACAAGGTCTATAGGTCTAGGAAAATAGTTCACATTGTGGATTTCATTTAAACAATGGAAGTAGTACTTGTCCTATTGATAGAACACTTATCAAAGGAGATTAAACTGAGAGTTTCAGATGAAGAGCCTCTCTTTCATTATTTAAACACCCCATTTGCAGTCATAATCTGGGTCAGTGCAAATATCAGCTTCCGTCCACCCTCTGACTGCGGTTCCTGTAAAGAGATTAGTAGTCCAAGTCCTCTGGATGAAGCTGCAGTCTGCACAGATACAAAAATTAATGTTTTGTGGGAAAATGTCAAATGAAGGTGAAAGTCCTCACAAGGTGAAACTAACCACGAATGGGCCTCAGTTTATTTGACCTGACTTCTCCTGTATGTTGTCTGTTCTCTCTGTGATGTCATACTGTTCTCCAGTAGGTTGTCTGTTCTCTCTGTGAAGTCATACTGTTCTCCAGTAGGTTGTCTGTTCTCTATGTGATGTCATACTGTTCTCCAGTAGGTTGTCTGTTCTCTGTGATGTCATACTGTTCTCCAGTAGGTTGTCTGTTCTCTCTGTGATGTCATGCTGTTCTCCAGTAGGTTGTCTGTTCTCTGTGATGTCATGCTGTTCTCTATCATTGTTCAGGTGAGATCAACTTCAGGGTTGTGTTCAGTAGAGCACACCGTAGCAAAATGCTTTAGAACAGAAAACCAAAAGGAGCGTTTCTTCTTAGATAAGTCCAGGTATTCCCTCCCTGTTTCGGTTCAATTCAAGTTTTATTGTCACATGCACAAGTACAGTGAAATGCTTAACTTGCAAGCTCTAACCCCAACAGTGCAGTAATCAATATCAAAATATTAACTAATAACAAATGCTATATAATAAAGAAAACACGATCAATTAGAGAGGAAGCTATATACAGGGTCAGTGCCAATACCAAATGTACAATGTGCAGGGAAACTGGAGTAGTTTGAGGTAGATCTGGACATGTAGGAGGGGGATCAGGAGAAAGTGACTGGTAGCAGGATAAATAATAATAATAGTAATAATAAACAGTATGGCAGCAGCAGAAGTGGTGGGTGGTCCCCTATAGCTCAGTTGGTAGAGCATGGCGCTTGCAACGCCAGGGTTGTGGGTTCGATTCCCACGGGGGGCCAGTATGAAAAATGTATGCACTCGCTTAACTGTAAGTCGCTCTGGATAAGAGTGTCTGCTAAATGACTAAAATGTGTGTGTAAGTGTGAGGGTGGGTGTGTGTGTGGTGTAAGTGTGAGGATGTTAGTGTGTGTGTGTAAGTGTGGGCGTGATATACGGATATACATGTAAACTGGGCTGGTAAGTGACTGGTAGCAGGAATATATAAATACTTATGGTTATATACTAGTGGTAAATTATACACTGAGTGTACAAAACATTAGGACCACCTTTTGCTCTCAGAACAGGGGTGTCCTACTAAGCTAACATATGGAATTGTTTTAAGATGGTCATACCATGGATCATTTGGATATTTGATTTTGATTTTTTTTACGCCTTTAGGTATAAAACATTTTTTGGGGGAAATATTGAATTTGGCCAACTACTATAGCCCATAGAAACACATTGAATAACACATTCATAAATGGCAAAAAAAATACAGTCAAAGATATATCATAAGGAATAACATTTTGAAGTGTCTGTCCTATATCTACGACATATAAGAAAGCTCAGGAAATATTTAAGTTTTTTTGGACACATATTTAACCCCTTATTTTTGTTGGCATAAAACTACCTCCATACTTCCATTCATTTGTATGGGTTACCTTTAGATGAGTCCCGTGGAGGTCATAGCAAAACAGAGAACACCATCGTGTTCGTGAGAGTCTCCCCTTTCCACAGTGGGGTCATATTAGTTTCTAGGCCAAACTGTTCGGACACTACAGACGTTTTTGTGAGAAGACTGATCGTGGTCTGACAAACACCGCTGTAGCTCAGCCACCTCCCACTGCAGATGCGGAAGGCTGACATAGGCTGATGCGGTGGTTTAAGATGCAGGCCATGCAAAAAACACATATCTCTAGCTTAAACTGATGAATTTTGATTGGGATCTTTCTATTATGTGACTTAGATTGACACACAGGTGCATTGAGGACAGTCCATGTCTCGGGTGGCTGGAGTCTTTGGCAATTCTTCGGCCCATTCAGTCCGTTTTCTACTGTTTTGAAGCATAATTAGCACAACTCAGATGTTTTATTCTGGGATGGGCTGGGAGATTATACCGACTGGCAGTTATCACCTTTTCTGTAGGAATTAACCCCTCTTATGCCCTGTTTCATAATCCCTGGATTATATTCCATATCTGCATCACATACCTGAATATTTCCTACTTTCTATAGCTAGGGATTTCAATAAGTAGGGATGTCACTCCAAAAGACAAAGTCCCGTCCAACCTCTGTCTTCATCTAGATTACCCCAGAGTTTTTCTTCTCCTTTTGATCGAGGTTAATGTCAGTGGTCTCAAAGGATGGTAGTGGTGGAGTGTTCACACCTTATGCTGCTGGTACAAAAGACGTAGTCTAGCCATTTCAGAGGTACCTTGTCTCAGGCTGAAGTTCCTCCATTTGTCCTTGCTTGCTGTGTTTGGGTGCATTTTTCCACTGCAGCGGTTCTGTGATGAAATTGCCCTTCAGAGCTGTAGGGTTTGGGAGTGACCTCTCTGACACCTCCCACAATGTTCAAAGGTCACCTCAAGCTCAACCGCTTTCCTTCAGTGGAATTCAAAGTTTATCCTCCAAATATTCCATGTTTTATAAAGGGCATCCTCTTGTTTTGGTCTGTAAACACCAGGGCTACGTCCCAAATGGCACCCTATTCCCTATATAGTGCACTACTTTTGATCAGGGCCTATAGGGAATAGGGTGCCATTTGAGACAAAGCTTAGATGAAATCACTCGCCTTAGCAGATACAGGGTTGACTAATTACAGGGACTGTTTGGATGCAAACTGGAGGCGGCCCTCAACACGTTATGTAATATCATCTAAAAATGTGTTCCTTCGCCGTCTGTGTGAGGGATAGTTAGGAGATGCAGAGTGACAGTCCTGAGCCTGACCACCTCTCCCTCACAAACACATTGTGAATCTCAACCCCCCCGCTGTCATCCAGAGTTTCCTCATTGTGTGGCTTCTTGTGGTGTCTCAGAACAGTTGATGTGTTGTGGTATAATGTATGTAATTTCATATGGAGAGAATGGCATAGTGGAGTGAGGGGGCTTCATGGAGAAGAATTATGTTACGTCATTGGAGTCTTGTAAAATGCATTGCAGCAATTTGTTACATGGTGTTTGTTCGCATCCTGGGGTCTATGCAGAGAGACAAAATACAGAGTCAGCCACCTACTACACACAGTCAGCCACTTACTCACAGCCTTGACTGCAGAGCAGGGACGGCTTGTTCAATAGGGCGATATGGGCGACGCACTGCCAAACGGGAAAAGGAAGGGATTTTTTTTCTAATCAATTATATCACGGCAACAGCAGTTATCAGTGTTCACGTCTGATCTGCCAGCCACTAAATGTCAAATCAGGCTAAAGTCGTGCTTCAAATGTCCCCGCCCGTTTTTTGGGCGATTTCAGTCAGGTTGAAAATCGCCCAGAAGTCTCTCATAGCCTGTCATGTAAAATCTATTTTTTTCACATTTCAAAGCTTTCAATACATTCTCTATGGGTGTCTGTGGGCTTGCACTTACGCGCTTTCGTCATACGTGACGTCACCATGAACGTAACTAAGACAATGGCGGCTAGCAGCGTCTCTGTTGCGACCTGCAGTGTGGCGTTATTTTATGTTTTTAATTTGTAGACTTAGTTTACAAACATTCTGCCAACCATGGATTTCCAGTGGTTGGTTTTGGACTGATCTTGTTGATCGTGTACATACCCGCTACGAACGGACTAAATAATGAAAACGCTGCTGGCAGCGGAATCCCAATACAGCTGGGAGACTTGGCTGGATGACAGAGTCCCGGACAGAGAAGTGGAGCCGGCCGGCTTCACCCTGGTCAGAGCGGACCGCGATCCTGGTAAGAGAGCGACTCTGTACCCCGACATTGAACTGCTTTCTGTGTCATTGAACCTTACTATCTGCCCCGTGAGTTCCCCCAATTGTTTGTTACCGTTGTGTACTGTTGATAATCACAAGTTTACTGGAGAACTGAGACCAAGTAGAGACTTTGGACAGGGTGGATATGGTATAATAAAGGCAGTTTATTCAGAGGTAAAGATATCTGGAATCGCGTGCACGGACTCGTTCGTCAAACTCTTAGGGAGAAGAGAGCCCCGAAAACATTGTGTGCAGACATTTTATACAATAAATGATGTAGGTTGAATCTAGTAGTTCTGATCTTCTGATTGGTCCTGATGAGTTGGGCGAGGTCCCCTCCACTGTTGCATTGGCTCTGAGTCGGGTTCTCTGTCTTCAAATGTTCAGCCTAAAGAGAGGGGATTTTTGTGTGTGTGTGTGTGTGTGTGTTTAACAGTGATGATGTGTGTGTGTGTTATCAGTGATGATGTGTGTGTGTGTGTGTGTGTGTGTGTGTGTCCTCAGAGCAAGAACTCGTGAGTTGGAAGAACTGAGAGACCTATGGCGTGGGTGTTGTCCTTGGCCACCTGCTGACAAGGCTGACAAGATAGGACTCTTTTGTCCATTGTTATAGGATAGGAACAGCATTGATTGAAAACAAACGCCCAACACAAAATGGGTCATGCACAAGATTTTAGTCAGACCAAGCTATAACATTATATATTTACTACGACAGTACATTCAAACCAAAAGCTAATATAACAAAGGCATCAGAGATTATTTATAATCTGTCACAGAAACTGGAATCCATCTCCCCAGATCAGTCAATAAATGCTTCTGGTATTGACTTATATGCTGCCCCTGTCTTCATGTTGTTGCTGGACATATCTTTTTTAAAATGTGTGTAGGTCACCTAAATCATCAGAAAAATTGCCCCTCCTGAGAATTTTTTCAGGAGCCGCCACTGCTGCAGAGGGTAGGAAACATTCCCCTACGCTCATATATACAGGAAGTCTTCATATCTAAGGCAGTTTCTCTCCTCCGTCCTTCCCTTCTTCTCTCTCTGCTGTGATGCCTGGGGAAGGCTGCCTGGCTGGCAGAGAGAGGCGCTTTGACCTCTTTAGTGTCCAAGTCTGTTCTGTTCCTGTCATCACATCATCTACAGGGAAAACACTGAGCCTAATGAGGAGGGTATGGAAATGGGGATCATTATCAGTAGCATGATGGCTAATGTGGACGAATGCCAACTTTACTGTTTGCATGGGGTTGGGAAAGCAAAGATGACACTTACTGCTACGAGGATGGGGGTAGAAGATATTACTGAAAAGCAAAGGTATCACTGGTACTGTAAAGATGGGTGTGAAACACTCATTTCTAGTTTCATGCCATTTCTAGTTTCAACTCTCCAATTGCAAAGACACCATATTTTCATTTGCCCCTATTTTTGTATATTGATTACATTTTAATTGCCCATCTGTGAATCCAATCCAATCTGTTCCAGTGTCAGTTCCAGATACATCTGAACGAGCAACCGACATCATGAGTCACTATTAATAACACAACAACAGATGATAGAATAAGGCCTAGTACTTCAAGGTGATGTATTGTTGAATCACTGTGTGATTTGCGTCCCCAGATGAGACGGGTTCTGCAGACACAGAGGAGGCGGTTGTGGACCACAGCTATGTGAAGAAGAAGCTGGAGCATGGACTCAATCGAATCTGGCAGGTCCGAACACAAGCTTTCTTTCACTTCTACCCTCTCTCGTCTCTCCTCTCTTGCTCTCTTTTCCATTCCTTCTCTCTTCTCTCTGGTCTCGCTCTCTCGTTCCCCTCCCCCTCTTTCTCTCTCGTCTCTCTCTCCACCCTCTGTCTCTCGTCTCGCCCTCTTCCCATATTTCTCTTTAACAAGTGTTCTCCTCCCCTTCACCCTACAGGAAGTCCAGCTGAAAGTGAAAGCCTATCTGCTTGGGACAGACATGTCCAACTTCAAATACGATGACTTCATTGTGGTCCTGGATGTTATCAGCAGGTATATAGAAATAGAATTGGGTACACTCAATATGGACGCTGGCCCACCCATCATGGAATATTGACTTGAATGGGAATCCTCGTTCTAGTAATTCTATTTCTAAGATCACATCCTCATTAGCAATAATTGGTTTGAACGAGGTGGACCGAAAGCCTAAACTCTCCCCCTTGCCCCCCAGTCCATGTGAAACCCCTTGTTTTAAAAGAACCACAACCAAAGCATAGAGGGAGTTATGTGGGCATCAATGAATCTGCTTGTTCCGCCAACAGAACAAAGTTGTAATTTGGCTCTTTACAAGCTTGTCAATTAAGGAATCGGGTTTCTGGGTCGGCTGTGTCCTTACGGGCCAGTGGGGAGAGTGAATAGGGGTTCTTCAGGGATCGGTCTCAGGGCCACATGGCTGTGAAGTAACTCTATGGGGTTCATTGAACTATTCAGAAGCGACTGACAGATGCTTTTCCCCTCCCCTCCTCGCTTTTGTCTTCTTTCCATCTCATTTTGCATTGTTCCTCATTTGTGTCTCATCCACCCTCCCCTCCCCCTCTCAGGCTGATGCAAGTGGGGGAGGAGTTCTGTGGCAGTAAGTCCGAGTTGCTGCAGGAGTCCATTAAATGTCAAAGTGTCAACTACTTCAAGAACTATCACAGGTGAGGCATCTCGCCCCTAGCTAGCGAATGTTTGCCAAAGTTATATGAATGTTTCCCTGGTTGAACACTGGTCTGATTACATCAATATATTGTTCTCCCCAACCTATATAGAACAGTACCAGTCAAAAGTTTGGACACACCTATTTTTAAAATTTTTTACATTGTAGAATAATAGTGAAGACATCAAAACTATGAAATAACACATATGGAATCATGTAGTAACCAAATTGTGTTAAACAAATCAAAATATAATTTATATTTGAGATTCTTCAAATAGCCACCCTTTGCCTTGATGACGGCTATGCACACTCTCAACCAGCTTCACCTGGAATGCTTTTCCAACAGTCTTGAAGGAGTTCCCACATATGCTGAGCACTTGTTGGCTGCTTTTCCTTCACTCTGCCTTCCGACTCATCCCAAACCATCTCAATTGGTTGAGGTCGGGGGATTGTGGAGGCCAGGTCACTGATCAGCCTCCCACTCTCCAACCTTCAATTGGTTGATGTACGAGCCTGGATGTGTGGTGAGGCCATTGGTCAATGTTTGAATCAAAAAATAAAAGTCCCACTAAGCCCAAACCAGATGGGATGGCGATCGCTGCAGAATGCTGTGTTAGCCATGCTGGTTAAGTGTGCCTTGAATTCTAAATAAATCACAGACCGTGTCACCAGCAAAGCATCCCCACACCATAACACCTCCTCCTCCATGCTTTACGGTGGGAACTACACATGCGGAGATCATCCGTTCACCCACAACGCGTCTCACAAAGACATGGTGGATTGAACCAAAAATCTCAAATTTGGACCCCAGACCAACGGACACATTTCCACCGGTCTAATGTCCATTGCTTGTGTTTTCTTGGCCCAAGCAGGTCTCTTCTTCTTATTGGTGTCCTTTACTAGTGGTGTCTTTGCAGCAATTCGACCATGAAGGCCTGATTCACACAGTCCCCTCTGAACAGTTGATATTGAGATGTGTCTGTTCCTTGAACTCTGTGAAGCATTTATTTGGGCTGCAATTTCTGAGTCTGGTAACTCTAATGAACTTATACTCTGCAGCAGAGGTAACTCTGGGTCTTCCATTCCTGTGGAGTTCCTCATTAGAGACAGTTTCATCATAGCTCTTGATGGTTTTTGCGACTGCACTTGAAGTCAAAGTTCTTGAAATGTTCCGTATTGACGACCTTCATGTCTTAAAGTAATGATGGACTGTCGTTTCTCTTTGATTATTTGAGCTGTTCTTGCCATAATATGGACTTGGTATTTTACCAAATAGGGCTATCTTCTGTATACCCCCCTACCTTGTCACAACACAACTGATTGGCTACATAGCGTTAAGAAGGAAATAAATTCCACAAATTAACTTTTAAGAAGGCACACCTGTTAATTGAAATGCATTCCAGGTGACTACCTCATGAAGCTGGTTTAGAGAATGCCAAGAGTGTGCAAAGCTGTCATCATGGCAAAGGGTGGCTATTTAAAGAATATCAAATATATTTTTTATTTATTTAACACTTTTTTGTTTACTACATGATTCCATATGTGTTATTTGCTAGTTTTGATGTCTTCACTATTATTCTACAATGTAAAAAATTGTAAAAATAAAGCAAAACCCTTGAATCAGTAGATGTGTCCAAACTTTTGACTGGTGGTGTATATATATATAGAGAGAGAAGGCAGGAAGGGCCTTCTATGCCATCAAAAGAAACATAAAATTCGACATACCAATTAGGATCTGGCTAAATATACTTGAATCAGTTATAGAACCCATTACCCTTTATGTTTGTGAGATCTGGGGTCCGCTCACCAACCAAGAACTCACAAAATGGGACAAACACCAAATTGAGAAAAAAGATTCTCTGTGTACAATGTAAAACACCAAATAATGCATGCAGAACAGAATTAGACTGATACACGGTAATTATCAAAATCCAGGAAAGAGCCGTTAAATTCTACAACCACCTAAAAGGAAGCGATTCCCAAACCTTCCATAACAAAGCCATCACCTACAGGGAGATGAACCTGCAGAAGAGTCCGCTAAGCAAGCTGGTCTTGGGGCTCTGATCACAAACACAAACAGACCCCACAGAGCCCCAGGACAGCAACACAATTAGACCCAAGCAAATCATGAGAAAACAAAAAGATAATTACTTGACACATTAGAAAGAATTAACAAAAAAACAGAGCAAACTCGAATGCTATTTGGCCCTAAACAGAGAGTACACAGTGGCAGAGAATACCTGACCACTGTGACTGACCCATACTTAAGGAAAGCTTTGACTATGTACAGACTCAGTGAGCATAGCCTTGCTATTGAGAAAGGTTGCCGTAGGCAGACCTGGCTCTCAAGAGAAGACAGGCTATGTGCACACTGCCCACAAAATGAGGTGGAAACAGCTGCACTTCCTAACCTCCTGCCAAATGTATGACCATATTAGAGACACATATTTCCCTCAGATTACACAGACCCACAACGAATTAGAAAACAAACCCGATTTTGATAAACTCCCATATCTATTGGGTGAAATACCACAGTGTGCAATCACAGCAGCAAGATTTGTGACCTGTTGCCACAAGAAAAGGGCAACCAGTGAAGAACAACCCATAATGATGTTTATTTATTTTCCCTTTTGTACTTTAACATTACAACACTGTATATAGACATAATAACATTTGAAATGTCTTTATTCTTTTGGAACTTTTGTGAGTGTAATGTTTACTGTCAATTTTTTCATTGTTTATTTCAGGGAGGGGGAGGGAGGGAGGGAGGGAGTGTGTTGAGGGACCTCTGGCCTGCTCCTCCAATGTGGTTTGTGAGGAGTAAGCAACAGATCTTCCCGCAGAGAGACGGGACAAAGGCGGACAGCCAGCCCAGCATGCTCTCTGTGGTCAACTCTGCATTGATCCCATTTCCCCTGTCAGCAATGCTAGGACACGCTCCCACTGTGCCCCTTCTCCCTCTCCGCACCCAATGCATAATTTTCACATTATGTCTGAATACTCAACAACTTGCGAGGCAGACATGAAGCCATTACTCGTCAGCAAACTGTGTGGGGCCTTCACTATGTCGCGCTGGCTGCATTTTGACATTATAATAATATAATATGCCATTTAGCAGACGCTTTTATCCAAAGTGACTTACAGTCATGCGTGCATACATTTTTGTGCATGGGTGGTCCCGGGGATCGAACCCACTACCCTGGCGTTACAAGCGCCGTGCTCTACCAGCTGAGCTACAGAGGACCACAATATATATTGTGCCTCTCTGGGTTAGCGGGGATATGACATTGTAGCTACTTTTTCTGTCCCCTAATAACTTATAATGATTCAAGAGATGCTTCAAGATATCTGCTATGTCTGTGCACTGACTACACTCCCCATCCACTGTGTGTGCTTGAATACCAAATCTCTTATTCTGAATACAAAAGGTGTTACATGACTAACTTATCTGGCACACTGTTTTTCTAACAGAACACCTCGTAATAATCCCTGTGACTGGTCGGTGTTGTGAGATATATTGTTCCATATATTCAAACACCTGTATGCTGTGGGACCAGGACTCTGTAATGTTTGATGTTTACACTGACATTTCGTGTGGATGAATTGGGATTGACCCACAAGAGAGAGGTGGCGGGTGGGGGGGGGACTGTCCTTTCTCCCTCTACAAACTGCCTTCCATGCCCACCGTGACATTTCCCCGTTCTGTTTAAGCATTTCATCTGGAACTCTGGGAGAGCAGGAGCCCTTGTGCTTGAAAGTAAATGGTAACGGGTCATTAATTGGCAAACGCTGACTTCTTCACTCTTCTTCTTGTCTCTTTCTCTTTCTTTCTTTGTTTGTTTTCTCTTCATCCCTCTTTCTCTCTGCACCCCAGGACGCGCCTGGAGGAGTTGCGGATGTTTCTGGAGAACGAGACGTGGGAACTGTGTCCTGTCAAGTCTAACTTCAACATCACTCAGCTCCACGTGAGTAAAACAGTTAGACGCCACAGAGGCAGGTAGCCATGGAGACTCAGAGAAGTGATGTGACATTTAGTTATCATGTCTCATCTGGAGCGATTAGCTTCTCTGTCACTCATCGTAGGCATGGCATTTACATATGAATATGAATCGTAGTGGCCCTAGTTGTCAGCAGGAGTTAAAGTTAAAGCTGTATACATACAATGTCCCTGGACAATATGATTTATTATCATATTCAAACACTATAAAGGGATCTGGACTGATAGAAATCCATCTAAGAGAAGTTCAACAGGTAGTGTACATGTTGGTTCCCAGAACCCTGTATGAAAATGCACACTGTTTATTTGGCTGACATTATGATAAAAACCTTCAATAAAGGAATTCAAAAAAAAGGAAGCTCTCTCTTCCTTCATTACCAGCAGACGTCAAGGAGGCTTAGGGATAGTTCACCCAAATTACAAAATGACACATTGGTTTGCTTACCCTGTTATTAGGCTACGGGATCGATATTAGCATTTTTTGCGCATCATGTCCAAATCATCCAAAAGTATCTAAAATTGATTGTGAAGATAACAAAGTCACTTTTAGGTGTTTTTAACATTATGGTTGAAAAATGCTAATATGTGACAGACCTCCTCGATTCAGTCTTATGTAGCAACATTTTAAATGGTGTATTTTACATTGGATAAAAGTAGAGAAAATGGTATATCATACATTGCAGTTGAGGAACAATGGGAAAGTAATTCTGCTTTTAATGTTGATACATTTATAACCCCACCAATACAAACATTGTCATAGCTGTAGTATGAATCTGCAGGTAGTTAAAGCTAACAAACTAGGTTCAATGTTTGCTAGCTAACCTTAGGCAATAACTAGCAATGCAAATGAATTTCTGATTCAAATAATATTACTACACAGATCATACATGTAACATTAGCTAGCGTGCCAGCAAGCTAACGTTTGATAGCTAACTAACAGTACGCTTAACTTGCAATAAAAATGACTTTCTGACTAAATTAGAAACGTATATCTGGAAAATGTAGCTAGACTCTTACCCGTATACATGTATGAATGCTTCACGGCAGACTGGATCAAAGAAAGCGTAGGTAACCTGCCTAAATGATTATTCCCCGTAGCACTCACGTCGGTAGCCATGAAGTGCTTTGAAAGGCTGGTCATGGCTCACATCAACACCATCATCCCGGAAACCCTAGACCCACTCCAATTCGCATACTGCCCTAACAGATCCACAGATGACGCAATCTCAATTGCACTCCACACTACCCTTTTCCACCTGGACAAAAGGAACACCTATGTGAGAATGCTGTTCATTGACTACAGCTCAGCGTTCAACACCATAGTGCCCACAAAGCTAATCACTAAGCTAAGGACCCTGGGACTAAACACCTCCCTCTGCAACTGGATCCTGGACATCCTGATGGGCCACCCTCAGGTGGTAAGGGTAGGCAACAACACATCTGCCACGCTTATCCTCAACACTGGGTTCCCTCAGGGGTGTGTGCTTAGTCCCATTCCTGTACTCCTTGTTCACCCACAACTGCGTGGCCAAACACGACTCCAACACCATCAAGTTTGCTGAAGACAAAACAGTGTTAGGCAAAATCACAGACAACGATGAGACAGCCTATAGGGAGGAGGTCAGAGACCTAGCAGTGTGGTGCCAGGACAACAACCTCTCCCTCAATATGAGCAAGACAAAGGAGCTGATCATGGACTACAGGAAAAGGAGGGCCGAACTCGCCCCCATTAACATCGACGTGGCTGTAGTGGAGCGGGTCGAGTGTCCACATCAGCAACAAACTATCATGGTCCAAACACACCAAGACAGTCTTGAAGAGGGCACGACAACACCTTTTCCCTCTCAGGAGACTGAAAATATTTGGCATGGGTCCCCAGATCCTCAAAAAGTTATACAGCTGCACCATCGAGAGTATCCTGATCACCGCCTGGTATGGAAACTGCTCGGCATCTGACCGTAAGGCGCTACAGAGGGTAGTGCATACGGCCCAGTACATCACTGGGGCCAAGCTTCCTGCCATCCAGGACCTATATACAGTTGATGTCGGAGGTTTACATACACTTAAGTTGGAGTCATTAAAACTTATTTTTCAACCACTCCACAAATTTCTTGTTAACAAACTATAGTTTTGGAAAGTCGGTTAGGACATCTACTTTGTGCATGACACAAGTAATTTTTCCAACAATTGTTTACAGACAGATTATTTAACTTAGAAATCACTGTATCACAATTCCAGTGGGTCAGAAGTTTACATACACTAAGTTGACTGTGCCTTTAAACAGCTTGGAAAATTCCAGAAAATGATGTCATGGCTTTAGAAGCTTCTGATAGGCTAATTGACATCATTTGAGTCAATTGGAGGTGTACCTGTGGATGTATTTCAAGGCCTACCTTCATACTCAGTGCCTCTTTGCTTGACATCATGGGAAAATCAAATGAAATCAGCCAAGACCTCAACAAAAATGTTAGACCTCCACATGTCTGGTTCATCCTTGGGAGCAATTTCCAAACGCCTGAAGGTACCACGTTCATCTGTACAAACAATAGTACACAAGTATAAACACCATGGGACCACGCAGCCATCATACCGCTCAGGAAGGAGACACGTTCTGTCTCCTAGAGATGAACGTACTTTGGTGCGAAAAGTGCAAATCAATCCCAGAACAACAGCAAAGGACCTTGTGAAGATGTTGGAGGAAACAGGTACAAAAGTATCTATATCCACAGTAAAACAAGTCCTATATCGACATAACCTGAAAGGCCGCTCAGCAAGGAAGAAGCCACTGCTCCAAAACTGCCATAAAAAATCCAGACTACGGTTTGCAACTGCACATGGGGACAAAGATCGTACTTTTCTGAGAAATGTCCTCTGGTCTGATGAAACAACAATATAACTGTTTGGCCATAATGACCATCGTCATGTTTGGAGGAACTTATTGTGGGAAGCTTGTGGAAGGCTTCCCAAAACGTTTGACCCAAGTTAAACAATATATAGGCAATGCTACCAAATACTAATTGAGTGTATGTTGTCGTAGTAAATATAATTTGTTATAGATTGGTCTGACTAAAATGTTCTGTAAGACCCATTTGGAGCCTGTTTTCAATAAATGCTGTTCCAGGTCAGAGATCAAGGGACAGAGGAGAGCGCCTTATCTTCTCACCAGATGGCCTAGGAATGCGATAATAGGACAACACCCCCACCTCCGGCCATAAACCAACAGATACTCCTCTAAAGAGTTCCCTGGACACACACAGACATTTCACTGCACGCACACTCATTCTCAACTCCCCTGTCTACTGGTCGGGTGCCAAGGGCAGAGGACTCTGCCGTGCACCAATGGGGCTTCTACTCTGGACAGAGCAGACCCGCCTCCTACGCCTCGGGAACCAATCAAGGGACTAGAAGAAGGACCCCTTCCTTTATGTTACATTGTATAAAGTAATGCTGTAAACTCTTTTTAAGGATCCCTTCTCAACTGTCTCCATAAGAGGCAATTGAATGGGTCCATGCATGTAGCTTGAGCAGTACCAGCTATCTCTGTTTTAATAAACTGCCTTTTGCTTAAGCAAAATTCCTCTCTGTCTAGCGTCGATGGTTTGTACTCCCTCTCCTAATTATGGTTTCACCAACAATGTAAACTTCTGACCCACTGGGAATGTGATGAAATAAATAAAAGCTGAAATAAATCATTCTCTCTACTATTATTCTGACATTTCACATTCTTGAAATAAAGTGGTTATCCTAACTGTCCTAAAACAGGGAATCTTTACTAGGATTAAATGTCAGGAATCGTGAAAAACTGAGTTTAAATGTATTTGGCTAAGGTGTATGTAAACTTCCGACTTCAACTGTACTTGGCGGTGTCAGAGGAAGGCCCAAAAAATTGTCAAAGACTCCAGTCACCCAATTCATAGACTCTTCTCTCTGCTACCGCATGGCAAGTGGTTCCGGAGTGCCAAGTCTAGAACCAAAAGGCTCCTTAACAGCTTTTACCCCCAAACCATAAGACTGCTGAACAATTAATCAAATGGCCACCCGGACTATTTACATTGCTGCTACTCGCTGTTTATTACCTATGCATAGTCACTTTACCCCTACCTACATGTACAAATGACCTCGACTAACCTGTACCCCCGCACATTGACTTGGTACCGGTAGCCCCTGTATATAGCCTCATTATATATATATATTTATTTGTATATATATTTTGAACTTAGTTTATTTAGTAAATATTTTCTTAACTCTATTTATTGAACTGCGTTGTTGGTTAAGGGCTTGTATCTAAGCATTTCACGGTAAGGTCTGCACCTGTTGTATTCGGCGCATGTGACAAATACAATTTGATATAACTCAGTTTTGTTAGTAGTAACATCTTGTTTGACCAGCTTTGTGTCACGTCACTCCGGTTCACACTGACCGTGGTGTGTGCAGAAAGTAGCCCATCACTTTTTCCTACTGATCTGTCAAAAGAGCCTGCGAAATTCAGGGCATCAATATTGTTGAGAAAACGTTTGTTTAGTTCTCGATGGCTAACCTTATATCTTACAAAAACGGCGCGGTAGAAAGGACTGTCAACACATACTGAACAGCTCACGTTATAGACAGAAGCGAGCTACATGGCAGACCAATCCAAACTCATCTCCCGGCATGTCTAGCCCATACATTATCTCAGACAATCATAGCTAGTGGGAAGGTTCCTGTCTTTTTGTCACGCCCTGGCTCTGGGGACTATGTTATGTTGAGCCAGGGTGTGTAAGTCTATGTTTTGTATATCTATGTTGGCCTGAGGGACTCCCAATCAGAGGCAACGAGTGTCAGCTGGTTGTCTCTGATTGGGAGCCATATTTAACTATCGGTCTTTTCACTTTGTGTTGTGGTTTCTTGTTCCTTTTGGTTTGTGTTTATCGAAGGACTTCACGTTTCGTTCGTTGTTTTGATCGGGTGATCTATTTAATAAATAATATGTACGCATTCAACGCTGCGCATTGGTCCTCCTCCTTA